ATATTATCGGTCTTTCCATTCTGCCAGTTTGCCCATGTTGTTGCATTTCATAGACAGAGATGGGGGGTGATGGTGGGACATGGGTTAAATGAAGTGCAAGCACACCCACCTCACGCTGAAAAGGTCACCGTGTTCCCTGTTCTTCATGACATAGGCTGTGTTTCTCTTTGAAGAGCCGTGTCTGAGTGCTCAGAAGCAGGAAGGAGCCCTTTTATTAATCCAGGAATCAACAGCCTTTGATGGCTGGAGATGGGAACAATATGCGTGCGCACACATTTAAGCATGCACTACCATGGCTGCGTGTGATTGCGGAGTGCTTGACATAGCGGTATGATATTTCCAGCATGTAGATGTCCGTACTGTTTCTGTTTAACGGTGACCTAGATTTCTCTAGAGGAATACGCGTACAGTTACTGCATGTTGTTCACTTTGCTTTTATTGTTTTTGCTTATGTGTGTGTGTGTTTGAGCATATGAAAGCATGTACACATGGATGTCAGCGCCAGGATCTTTGGGTTTTACAGTTGTCGCCGTCATATTTTCAGAGGCGATGACAAGTAAGTTGCCTTTCAAAAAGTGCACCCAATTATTGTTTGGTATTTTTATTGGTACAAAAGTGTTCTAGAAATACAAATGATTGTATTTTTATGGTGGTCACACTCCACCCTGGTCTCCTTTGTGTTCTGGAGAAATGATTCCTCTGGCAGCCACAGAGTTCTAGTTCTTAGTTGGCTGGACGACAGACGGGTCAACCGGGTTTGTGGTTCTCCTCCGGAACAAGCTGCTTTTAGATGACCATTTTTTGCCAGAGACACAGAGCCTGATACTTCTTTCCCGTTACTTTAGAACTCAGCTTGTGTTAATTATATTTAACAGACTACAACTGTCATGCAAAAACACGGTTCCCAGCGGATTTGCAAGAATATCAAACAAATGGAATAAAGTGCTGTGCTGTGTTTCATTTTTTTAGCTGCGTGTTTGAACTCCCTATCAATAGCATCTTCAGAGTCAAGGTCAGTGATAGGTATACATCAGCACTCCCACTTTTAATGAGAACCTATTCCTGCAATATCAGCTTTTTGATAACTTTATCAGAGTCAAAACAGCGTGGCTGTAAAAAGCAGAGCGCCATGTGTGTGGGAGATGACTGAGACAGACGTCATGGTTTCTCAAGAGGATACACACTTACTGAAACGGAGAGTCCACATCGCAGTGCCTGGTCTGGAAGATGGCTGCTGTAGGTGGTCCGCTTCCACGGGGAGGTGTGTTTGGTTGGAGAATGGTATGACATATGCCCAATAGTTCAGTGATAAAAGGCTTCAGTGTGTGTGTGTGTGTGTGTGTGTGTGTGTGTGCGCGCGCTTGTGCATGTGCATGCACGTGTGTGCGTGTGCATGCACGTGTGTGTGCATGGAAGGAAGAGAAAGAGAGATGCGGGAGTTTAGTTTGAGGTCGCCTCATGCACAGGGAGATAAAATGAGCGACTGCTGTTCTCATCATAACAACCGAGCTACTGGAAGAGAGGCCCCCTCTCTCCCGAAAAGGCACACAGCTGCCCTGCTCCTCGCCTGTCCACACAGGACATTTCTCCTACAAGTGCGCGATTGAAGTTTGAGAATTCTGATAGAATTCCTTGCCCTCTTTCCCATATCCGCAATTCGCTCGGCTTATTTTGATCCGCTGCTATAAGGTTTAAGTTGCTTCTAATGTTTTTCTGCACAATTTCACAGCGGGCCAAGCGACGAGGCTAAATATTTCATCGAGCGGTTGTTATTTTGTAGGACCAGGCCAAAGCAAACTTAAGACTGGTGAAGAATGTAATCATTTATCTAAGGACCAGGGGTGACATGCTCAATTTGGCCTAAAATAGGGCTCTATGTAGCCCACAGGGACAAGGGTGTGCATAAGTGCATGTGTACTGTATGTTTTGGTGTGTGCGTTTGGCCAACAAGGCCACTGAGTCCCAACAACCAGAGGCCACAAAGTTTGTTTTCATGTATTTCCGCCTTTATTTCTTGCATTTTGTTACAGAGTTAAGTCTCGAATAATCTGTCAGCCTTGACCAAGAATTGTGTATTTGTTGCTTTGACTTGCGTGCACTTACATCCCAGTTAAGTGAAGTAAATAAAAGCACTTCTTTGGTCCGTTCATTTCAAATGAGAGAAACATGAAAGAATGAATGGAGCAACCCATATACCCCTCCCTTTTCTCACAGTGTCCATCCTAAAATACCATCAAACACACCCATGGCAATCATGAATTACTGGGAACTTTATCTAAGTCTGGTAGTGTGAAGCTTTCCCATCATTCCCTGAAGGCTCTAATGTTTCTATCGGTCGTGGACTAACCTAGCAGAGCCTTTAGCTTGGTTGTGTAATGACTGTTATTAACCTATCAAGATCAGCCGAGGGGTCTTGGCTGCGTTTTCCAGCCCCTTCTATCACTTTCCCTCAAATCCCAAAACCAAGATGGCTCCCTTAAAGCCTCACTCTTGCCCTCCAGGGAGCAGAAAACACCAAAGTCGAGTCTAATTGGATTCATTTGTAAAATAGCTGCAGAGATTTGAACATTATCTATCTATGCACCCATGACTGGAATGCAACTTTTTTTTACCCTGCCACTTTTGCAGTAAAACCGCGGTCTCTTGGTGGCCCGGAGGGCTTTTGAAAAATTGGAATCTCATGTTCATTAAACAACGAATCCCTTTTGTTGTACGACGGTGAGGGTTAGGCTTACAAGCCCTGATCTAAGAATGGATCACTTGGGTCAGTCGTGTTATTAATTCATTGCAGCGGTGAGGGAATGGGACACTTTGTCTGTTGAAAGCAAAAACCTACTAAAGAAGAAGAACGTAATCTTTTTTTCATGATAATCATATTAATCCAGAATTCAAGGGAATATCAGATGTGCTTGTACAAGTCCCTGTCACCATATTAACATGCATTATCACCAGATGTCCCTTTGAAACTAATTTGTAGACCTCTGGAGTCTCATTGCATGGCACTGTATCCTGCTCCAGCTGCATCTGTTAGTGTTTTGTTTTGGTACAGCTCAGAGCGTTTTGTGTTTGTGTGCTTTTGTGTGTGTGCGTCCGTGCTTTTGTTCTGTTTTGCAGATGTTCATCAGATAGAGACTATTACACCACCACTTTAGCAACATGAGGTTAACTGCAAAAAGGCAGATGTCCTGCAAGTCAATGGGCTGAATTAACTCTTAGTATAAAACTACTAAACTGATAAAGTGAATGTTGTTAATGCCACACTGTCTGTTGGACATAGATTCAAGGAATGGGAGTCGCTGTCCACTCTGCTCTCTGGCCACTTTGTTAGGTACACCTTGCTGCCAGTTTGGATCCCTTTTACTTTTGGAACTTTCTCCGTTTACATTACACAAATTCAACAAGGTGCTGTAAGCATTTCTCAGAGATTTTGTTTCTTGCTGTCATGTGAGGAACCACAGTCGATCCATGGTGCAGATCTCTCATTACACCACACGTCTAAGGTGACTGTACAGGGGGCTGAGAGGGTCCAAGTGTGCCAAAAAAATATCCCCCACACCTCTACTGGCCTGAACTCTTGATAAGCACCGGGTGAACGCTTTCATGATTTTTAAGACAAATTCTGGACCGTCATCCAAATGTCACGGCAGAAACTCATTCAGGCACTTTGCCCCCCAATCTTCTATTTTCCAGTTTTTGTGAGCCCATGTTAATTACAGCTCAATTTCCTGTTCCTAGGTGACAGGAACGGTACGCGGTGGTCTTCTGCATCGTAGCCAGTCTGCTTGAAGGAGATGCTCTTTTGCATACCTTGGTTGCAACGAGTGATTATTTGAGTTATTTTGCTTTCTTGTCAGCTGGAAGCAGTCTGTTCATTCTTCTTTGACCTTTTATGCCATGGGGACTGCAATTCACTGCCTATTTTCTCTTTTTCAGATAATTCTCTGTAAAGCCTAGAGATGGCTGGGTGGGAAAATCCCAGTAGACCAGCAGCTTCTCAAATACTCACACCAGTCTGCTTGGCACCAAAAACGATGCTAAGTCACTAAAATCAACTTTCCCATTCTAATGCTCAGTTTGAACCGCGGAGTGGGGTTGTCTGGATGCCTATATGCCTTAATGCAATGAGTTGCTGCCATGCAATTGGCTTAGATATTTGTGTTAATAAGCAGGTGAAAAGCTAATAAAGTGACTGAGGGTGGATTTCACCAAACAGCGTGACAGTACAACTACAGCAGCAACAAAAAGATACACTATTATAATTGCATAAATAGGTTTGTTTACACTGCTGCAGATGTTAAAATGTATTTTTAAGTTTTACTGATGATTAAAAATTACAACAGCAATTTTGACAGTGCTGTCTGATAGTGGGCCAGACCCTGTAAAAGCTCAGGACACAAATACAGCAAGAAACTGTAGAAATGACAGAAAACCATCTACACACAGTAATATAAAGAAAAAAAAGGCATTTTATGTGATACAAGTGACAAGAAACACAAGAGCTGTGGTGCAGTAGATTAAAACATAGAATAATATAAGTATTCCACAGCCACAGAGAAGTGCACTGGTGTTTTTACTGTTCCAATAGACAGACATACAATAAATGTATTTGCATGCTGTGCTTCCATCTATAATTCTTGTGATGCAAACTGCTATATCGAGGCTTTCACTGCTGCTTGTCTCTGAGACGTCACATCAGAATCGATGACAAAACGGCAGGAAAATGCAGTCAGAAGCTCTACAAACGACTCAGTGTTTTGATTCCTCTTCTAGATGGGTCCCCAGGGGCCAAAAAGTATGTGTGCGGTTCATGGGTACAAACAATCTCCAGTTGTGAGCCTTCAGTTGGTTACAACTGGGTAAAAATGCTACTTAACTTTCCAAGTTTGGTCTAAACTTTTGTGTGACTCCATCAGTCATGATGAATATTTTGTGTTTGTTTAACAACAATATTCCACTGGTGGGATTTCTTTGTTTTCACTCTCATTGTTCTTCCTCCCCAGATTGAGAACCTGCTGGAGCAGTTAAAGGACAAGGACAAACAGGTGGCTGGATTGAGGGAAAGGGTTCAGGGCCTTCAAACCGACTCCAGCAACACAGACACGGCTCTGGCTACACTGGAAGAAGCTTTATCAGAAAAGGTAAGAGTGATGGGGAAAAGCACTGTAAGTATCCAAAAAGAAAAGGCGAAAATCAACACTCAAGGATTGAGTTTCAGAGAGATGTTGTCCTGTTTGTTGCTGGATGGATGGAAGGTGTAAAGGACAAAACGCTTGAAAAATGTGAAAGTCTGCTGGTTGGTGTGGAGTAATGTGGAAAGTTTTACCCTTTCAAGCGTTTCAGGGAAGCTAGGATATGGCTTATGGTTTAATTAATTTTCATGCTTTACTGTGACTCACAGCCATAATTTAACGACATAAAATCCTAATTTATAGACTTAGACCACACTAGATGTGGTCCTATCTGTAAGTAGTAAGGGAGAGAAAGAGGGACTGGTAGAGGGGAAGTCTATGGTGAACACACACAGAGGATTAGTCCATGTCTGTAACTGGGCCGGGCGCAGGGAGGGAATGATGTATACAATGAGGAGGATTTCAAATGTAAGAGAAATGGAGCGATGGAAAAGCTGAGTGGCAGAAGAGGCACAGCCCCGATGGTAGAGGTGGCCTTAGAATTAATGGGGGGAGAGGTCAAGGAATGCAAGGGTGAAGGCAGAGTGAAAAATGTTAGTTTTAATAAGGAAAGGAGAAAAAACAGTGCTGAGCAAATACATGGAATAGAAATGCAATAACAGATAACAAAGCTATGCACAGAGAAGAAGTCAAACATACTGTGCATACTGTGCACATACTGTGCACATGCCATGCGATGTAAAGTCTCAGTGGGATGTAGTCAGTACTTGCTGAGTGTTATTCTAATATTAGGTTTGTATCCGATGGTGCATCCTCAGTTTCTCTCCTCCTCTTCTCTTTAAGCTTTCTATCACAATAAAGGCCTTCAGATAAAATAAGAAAGGACAACTGTACAGACAAATAAACACAATAATTGGGCCCAATGAAGATCTGTAATGCTCCAACATAAGACTCAGATTTGTGTATACAATAACACAACGAATAAAGCAGTTAATTAAGACAGTACTGCATGTGTCTACATGAATAGGAGGATTCAGTGTAGACATAATCATTGCGCTTAACAGCTGCCATGTGATCCAAGGTCAACCAAACAGACTTACTCCACATGGGAAATAGATGGGCTGGATGTTCGTTGTAAACACTTATTGTCTGTTGTTTTTTTTGAAATATGAGAGAGCAGCTGGTCACCATGAAGCTCACCAGCACAGAGCAAGCCTGCTGCCACTCACAGGAAAATCACCTTGCTGGCCGATGTGCTTCTTTTCTTATTTATGTTTAAATCTTTACACATTGAATTAACGCTCTTCCAGGGCAAAGACGTTCCTGTAAAGAAGCTGAGAAACTGAAGCAAATGATTGCATTGAATAATGGTGTTATTTTTCTTGTCTACACAAATCTTTAGTGATTTGTTTATGGATTTGCAGTCATGGTTTAATGGTGCCAGCGATCTTTAACTGCAGACCTGCTTCAACAAAGAAAGAGTTTGATGTGAATTGCTTTACACAGCATCGCCATGGAGATGTCACATCCTGGTCTAGCAGTATATACATTCTGTCTTGAAGTGACTGGCTTGATTTCAGACGGACTCCATCTCTCCTCGCTTTGTTGCATGTTTAAAGTTGTTGCTAGCTCACATGTGTTGTTACTATAGGCTAAAGAATTATCATCTTGGCGCTGGAGGCTAAGAAATGGTTCCCATTTACATGTTTGTTTGCACAGCAGGCTTAAAGATCGATACGGGTTTACATTTCGTTGGCACTGGCTGCTGGTTAAGAGTTCACAGTTAGGACAGTTGTGAATGTCCAGCTGTACTGCACTGTTATGCAGTGGATGCCACGTTTGTACCTCTGCCACTGAGCATTTGAGCCTTTGCATTTGCTGTTATATATTTCTCTTGGCTTGCAGGAGCAAAACTTGGAGTCCTGCATGCGATTGTACAGATTTCAAAGAGTTTTAGCTCGTATAGTAAGTGTCACTGTGGAATTATCTTTCAGGCAGTCTGTTTAGACACCGATAATGTGAAAACCAGCCTAAGTGGAATCAAATACAGGAGTGTCTGACTTCCTTTTCCTCTCTCTGTATGTGTTCTTGTTTATCTCTGTTATTTCCTTGATTGTTATTTAATTGACCTGCAGCCTTTGATTGTATCTATTCAATCAAGAAGGGTTTACAGTAAGCTCACACATTTTGTCTGTTAATAGATTAGAAGCTGGTTAATGAGGGTTTCAGTGTATTCGCAGCACACAGAGCGACACAGCACATAGATGTTTTCACTTAAAATGGTCTTTTAGCACCAGCATTTGTTTTCGTTGCACATAGCCTTGCATAATGGCACAATAAACTGTAAATCCCTCTTCTGCGCCGGCCCATTTGTTTACCCAGAAACCACTTCTGATGCAGCCTACATATTATTCAGCTGTGATGAGGAGAATGCTGGCAAGCTTTTCAGACGTTGTGGTCAACACAGGGCGTGTGTAATGTGTTTACGAGCACGAGTGTGTGTCTTGCTGATCACAAACTCTGTCACAAACCTGCTCTTGGAGCCAGTCACTAGCCACACTGCTGTGGTTCTAATTAACAGGCCGGGGCACTGTGCCCATGCTGAGCACTGCTCTGTAGTGCATGTATGTGTGCTTGTCTGTGATGTCATATGTGTGTTTTCTGTTGTTTATGTGTGCAGTACACTTGGGCCTCATAGAGCCAGATTTATTATCATACCCTGGTGTCTTTCTCTAAGCCCCAGACATCCTAGATATTCATAAAGTGGGCAGAGTCAGGACCTGTTAGCCAAGCAGTCTCTCTCCCTTGCCCTCTCCGTGTAGTGATGTACTGTGCCAGGGCTAGTTAGTGCAGTATTTGTCCAATTACCCAGGACTTTAAAGTTGCCAATCATGCGGTGATGCCACGTCGTAAAGTCTCATTGCTGAGCTGTGCTCTGCGCCTAAATAAACACCTGAATAAACACCCTGGTAATCATTTCAGTCCACACCTAAACACGCACACATTCACTTTAACACGCACACCTTGCTCAACCTCCCATGTGGTGGACTTGGTTTAAGGCCAGAGCTGTTGTCCTGCTTTCCAACGTGATTAGAGAAAGGAGCAAATGATGTTTGAGACATTGCAGCTCGGTTTATCAGCAGGCGGTGTGGTTGTTAGAGTGATCTACAATACCGTCTAATTCACCCACAGTAAATCTGTCTGTCCCTCAGCCCTTCTCTTCCTTCCTCCTCTTTCTGTTCTACTTGGCTCCCATCCCTTTGTGTCACTGCGATTATTTATAGCAGTATTATTTATGGTGGGCATTTATGAGTTTGTCTTTGGCCACACTTTGTAAAGATTGTTGGAGATCCTATTCGGCAAGATACTGCCGATAATGATAGGAAAAACTTATAATGGCACAGGGCTGGTAATCCTTTGCACAATGGATGGAAAACAGATTTATTTCATGTCGTTTCTGCTTCGTGTAATGAACATACTTTTGTGCAGATTTTTTCTTATTCCTACGTATACTTGCCAAATCAGTTTTTATTTTACCTTCTTATACCTTCTCACTGTCTCAGGAGCGAGTGATTGAAAACCTCCGGGAACAAAAGGACCGGGAGGACAGGGTTCGGCTGGAGGAGCTGGAGCAGCTGAGAAAGGAGAACCACGAATTAAAAGACAAACTGTCAGTCATGCACCCCCAGAAACAGCCTCAGAACCAGCTCGGTAACCCCAGCCCATCCCAGAACCAGAGACCAGATGCAGAGGTCAGTGTGGACTCAAGTATTATCTATTGATGTTTAGATAATAGAAAATACAAATGTGTGTGCAGTATGCATGGCTCTTACATTTTGCGCAAAAATGGTTTTGCAGTCATTGAACACAGGCACTGTGAACACACAAGAGAGGTGGTCTGTTATGTGTGTGGACTGCAGACATACAGCCATCAGTACAACCACTATATGTTTGTTGTGCTTGTAATATGCTTCCTGTACCTTGTACTTACTATGCTAACGTTTACAATAAGAGTAATTCCACATTATTACCTCCCCGTGAGCATCAACAATATAGTTAGCAACTTCCTAGCAGAGGGCCTGCCTGCACTTTGTCCCACGGGATAAAAGGATGAATTAAGAGAGAGTGATTTATGGATCTGAGAGATCCTGTATCCCTGTGCGGGTGCCAAGTCGAGGGCCTTGCAATCTTTTTTCTCTCCTTCTTTCTTCTCCTAGGCTTACAAGCCAGGACAGACCCCTGTCCTGCCAGAATTTATGAGAATGTTTTCTTTTATACTCATAATAAGCGTACACACATCTCATTCCTGTGAAATGATATCTTCTTGGATGTTGATGCCGCACCACATGAAAGTGGCAGCAGCTCAATAACTTTTTGTAGCAAACAGATTCGCACTGTGGCAGAAGTGCTGCCATAATTAGACTGTTTTGTGTACTCCGCAGCAATCAAATCTGTTATGTAAACGTAGAGATTCTTCAAAAAGACCGATGACGGTTGTGTACCTGTATACATGCGTGTGTCTCTGTCGGCATGTCCCTGCATGCCAGCACAAAAGCAACTGTCGATACGTCTGCTGTTTGTGTCTGCGTGCATTTAAATGCGGCGGTGTTGTTGATCCTGTAGCGCTGTGGCACAGGACAGGCTATGCTATAAGTATTTGGGAGGTCACTGGGGAATTATGTTGGCGCTTGATTAGATCCTGATCAAACTTATCTACCACTCCTTCATGAGTCCTTCAGCGCAGAGACGTCTGCTGACTGCTGCTTTTACTTAACAAATTCTAGGCATCGTAAAAGCTGTGCTCCAAGGTTTTGTACGGCAAAGTTATCAAATTGCGACAACATTTAATTAACAATTTAAATCCAGTGTTAAACGCTACACTTTGTTGTGTCAGTTCTTGCTCTGACTCAGTCAGATCAGTGCAAAGCTTTTTATGGCAGCTTGCTCTCCCTGTCTAGTTTGAATGCACTAATAAAAGCTGGGCGTTTGTATTGAATATTTCGTCATTGTATGCTTAAAATTTGAATAAAAGTTGAATACTACTAGGTCCAGTAATCGGTGATTGGACTGCCAAGGCCTCTGCCTTTGCCACCCACATACCACAGAACTTGATAGACCCTTCTGTGTTGTGTGGGTCCACAGGAGGGCTGGCCTGAAGGGCTAAGGTTTGACCACCAGACTCTCGCTGATAAGCTAGTCCCCCATTTGCTTGGGCCTAACTCCAGGGTAGGGCACTGGTAACCCACTGGGAGGAGGCTCCAGGGCCGACACAGTACACGCTCAGTTCACTCAGCTGGCTTGATGTCACTCTATAAGTGACGGAGGAGGTGGTCAGAGAGAGGGAGGCCTGGGCTTCTCTGCTTAGACTGGTAGTCAGATCCAGCAGAAAAAAGATGGATAGGTGGATGAATGGAGGATGGAGCAATGGATCGATCAATGGAGGAGTGTACTAAGTGCAATAAAATGGTTTTGTGATTCCTCCATTAAAAAGTAAAAAACTTTGTCTGATTTCAATTTCTCTACTGTGCCCTTCATGCTTGTCTCCTTATGTGCTACAGGGAAACCCAGTTCTGTTGGTTCTGACCATTTGCAATTTCACTATGCACAGGGGCCAAACATAAACCTCTGTGTGCAACTGGCCCGCCCTCAATCAAGGATCATCACTTCTTATGACCGCTTTGGTTAACCACAAACCCCAGAGATTATGTTCTTCAGGAGCCTGAGGAGACTCGACAGGTGCACAGGGACCTTCACGGGAATAGTGGCCAAATTTGCATTTGTTGTATTTGCTTCTAATAGGTGGAGTCACAACGATTTTGGAGGGTCTTTTGTTTTTGTTAATATAAGCATCCTTCACATGCTGCGCATTAAATGCTTTTTACATGGTTACATCATTTTATTTCAACCTGACAAACACCAAGACCTCCAAAGATGGACAAATATTTTTTTTCTCGTAGGACAAATATGATTTGCTTCTCAAGCAGCTGCAGAGTTTGTGTTTGTCATCAGGTCATGTACACACAGTGGTCCACTGACAGTATCTGCAGATGCTGGTATTATTGACTCAGTCAAGCTGTTAGCGGAGCTTTTTATCGTGACCTCAGGGCTCTGTTGGCTTAAGTGCATCCTCATCCTCTTCCCATAAAACAGTATTTGTTGATTCCAAGCTTATTAAAGGACTTCTAGAACTAAACACCAGCTCTTCAAAGGAAAGAACCTCGGGGAAGGCAGTGACCTTTTCAGAGCGGGCTGGCTAAAATCTTCAAGGCAGCACCACACCTTAAAAGACTTGACTCTTATTCAAAAGACACGTTTTTCTTTTCAAACCAGGCAAATGTCATATGCTGTCATGTCAGACTCAGTGTTGCTGGGTAGTCTTTGGCCAGGTGTTTAAAAACTCAGCACAGAGTCTGGTGGCTACACATATTTAACATATTTTGAAATATTTACACCCAAGAGACATTTCCAGGAATGATAATAAGAATTTGACTGTACATGTAATTGTATCTTTTCTGGCCTTTCCCCTCTCATAATATTACAAATTCCTTTTAGACCTACCATCCTCTCAGCCACTGGTTTCCACACTTGTCTGTGTGCTCTAGTGAAAGAAAATAGCATGCTCTGGTCCACTTAGGCCTAAAGCATTTTGGGCTGGGAAAGATGTGGATTGATGTACATGAATGAGTGTTTTCAGCCTCATGTAGCAGCAACGAGGGAAGGACGAGCTGTTGCCAAGATCCTTGATAGTCAGCACAAGCATAGTGACAAGTCATGAACTTTATGTACCGTCATAGGCTTATGTGGACCTGAGAATATTCTCATTATAATCATAATGAGCCAATAACATGGTAGCAACTCCAGATCACCTGCTGAAGTTCAAGCTGAACATCAGAATAGGGAAGAAAGGTAATTTAAATGACTCTGAATCTGGCATGGTCTGAGGATTTAACAAACTGCTGATCTACTCAGGCTAATAAGTAACAGTTTAAAGTTAGTTTGTAAAAAAATCACTCATAAAAAAGTAGAATAGTAAACTAAAAGTACAGACTTTATATAAGTACTGTAATGTTATATGCATTTAAAATAGCTCAACATAACTGATGTTAAGCTCTAATATTGTCTGTATTTGCCGAGAAGAAACAGTAACGTGAACGTTGTCTAAAAATGGTCAAACTAGGAGCTAAATAAATAGAATGTAAATTGTACTGAGGCTAAAAGCTTGGGCTAATGAATAGATGTTAAATAAATCCCTCAGCACAAACTTACCTAAGCACTGACAGCTTGTCTGGATGAAAATAATTATCATAGCAATAACCTCTTTTATATAATAAGTGTTGAATGGGATTCCACTGAAAAAATAACACATTGGAGCACAAGAGGTGATGTTAATGAAAGGGTAGGGTGCAGACCCGCCTGCCAGATGGAAAAGTTACATTGTGTCGACCTTACTTCCTCTGGGAGGTGAAGCGCATGCCAAAATAACAGAGGTCATTAAATTTGAGTATGATGACTTGGTTAGGATTAAGACATGGTTAGTTTTTGGTTGAGTAGTGGTTGAGGTTAGCGTGAGGGGAACTGTTGGCAGTAGGTGGAAGTAAATGTAATATACTCTGAAGTGGATGAAACATGGCTGTGTGTCTGTGTGTGTGCGCGCGCACAAGTGTTTGTGCACATTCACTTGATGATGTTTAAACGAGTGGCCTCAGCTGTCTCAACAAGTTAAATAACCTTCACAAACACAGTAGACAGAGAGAGGTAAAGACCAGGAGAAAAAAGCAGAAACACAGAGAAAGATAATTCTAGGTTAGAAACTTCCTTTGGGATATTTTTCTCAGAGAATGGTTTGATCAGCATAACTATGTTCTTTCTTTTTTTCTTTCAGCATTTATTTTGAAAAGAATTGAGATGTTTGGTGGTCTCATAAAATCGCAGCCAAAACAGAGCAAGTATGTAATTTTATAATGATAATGAACTCCTAGCTCTACATGAAAGATGCCCTGAGGAGGGAACTGATAGAAGCCAACCACAAAAAAGCAGGCAGCTAAATTATGAATTGTAACCTAGAATTCAGGCCTGACTTACCTTTTCCTTTTCGGTTCATGCAAGATGATAACACACCTGCTCTTGTATAATTATCAGTGCCAATGATTTAGTCCTGCAGGATGTCACAAGGTTTATTTGTTTATCTACAATTTCTTTTTTTAACTAGGTGAAAACCAAAGTAGACGGGCCACCAGCAGTGAGCCCCACGGTAGGTTCTTTTTTTGTTAGTGCTAGCTGTTAGCATATTACATGCTAGGCTAACAGCACTAATAGGTTAAGGCTCAGCTATATTAAAATGCTTATAATAAAAGAATTGAAATGTTTTTCTATTTATCTGAACCTGTTCTTTGGTAATGAACCGTAAAGTGTTAGGAAGCCTAAGTGTGAGTGTTTAGCTACGTCTGACAATGATCTGAAGTGGTCAACGTGGAGAATATTTCAAATGCTTTCATGCTGTCTAGGTAGCAGTTCACACATGGTTGTGTTTGTACCTAATGAATCCATTCTCACCCCCCAATGCTTACACAAACATATATACTCAAAGATCCAAACTACAGAGGAAGCAGTCAAGATGTGTCCGGATATCACAGATCGTCTGAGGGTCCTAGAGCAGGAAGTTGGCCGCTACAGAGAGGAATCCAGGAAGTCACAAGCTGAAGTGGAGAGGCTGATGGGAGCTTTAAAGGATGCCGAGATGGACAAATCCTGCAAGGAGAAAAAAATCTCTGATCTTGAAAGGTGAGGGTTTAAGGAATTCAGTCAGTTTCGTAACAAGTCAGAAATTGTGTGTTCTTAGAGTGTAACCGGATCTTTGTAAGGCCTCAGCTCATTCCTACGTGCTGTATTTATAAAGGGGTAATCCATGAAATATAAACTGTCTAGATTGAGTCGTCCTAGCACTTGAAACCACTTTTATGTTGCCATTCTTTTGGCCTGATGTAATCAGTCCAGAAAATGAATGTGACCTGTTTAAATATCAGTCTAATCATTTAGCTTAATGTCTTATTATTTGTTTTTATCTGTCAATGTCTGCAGACATGGGTAAGTAGATATTTAGTGTGCCCGCTAACCCCACCGTCATAATACTGCTCACACTGCCCATGATCATTACGTTGACATCATGCTGTGGTTGCTGGCTCCTTTTAAATTTTCTCAGGTATAAAGTTGGAAATTGGGGGAACTGACTGTATCTGAGCCTCAGGAAGCTTAGATTTGACTGTCTCGTTGGGGCAGTAAATGCATAATCCATTTATGGTCTTCATTCCTGTCACAGTAATAACACAATGAGAGATTTTATATGCTTCCTGTGGAGACATATAGCTTCTCTTTCATGTTGACGTCTGCAAATCTTCTTTGCACACATTTCAATCCTGTCATCAGTGCGGTCATCTGTGTTTTCTCATATCAAATTATCCATATGTGTGTTTATATAAATGTCTTTGCATTACTTTTGACTACTGTCAATGCATCCTGTGACAGTGTTTGTGTGTGTATGTGAGTGAGCCTTTGAGTTTGCCAGGCAGGCAGCCAGCGGCATGCCAGTGGGAGGTTTTTGTATCCAGCCCAGACACTGGATGTTTATACTACTCTGTTTATTACTGGCACAGTGCTACTCAATTATCATCTGATTTATGGATTGGCATGGTGTGTATATGTACCCAAATGAGTAGTTGTTTAGTGCCAAGGCAGAAGTACAGTATGTTAGTGTTTGTCTGCATATTTATTTCTTACAGTGTGTATGTGTGTGTGTGTGTGTGTGTGTGTGTGTGTGTGTGTGTGTGTGTGTGTGTGTGTGTGTGTGTGGGTGAAAAAGAAGCACAGAAATGTGTACAGAGAATGTTTTTGAGTTTGAAATGTGATATTTAAAGTGGTATTTAGGCGTGTGTCTGTATATGTAGATTAATAGTGAATCAGTCTTTTGGTGGATCACGGGCTGCAAAGTTGGGGCATGAGTTTAAAAAAATATGAAAACAATCATTTTTCACACACATTGGCTTCATCAGGTGTGTTAACACTTGTTCTGGTTCTGAATGGCTTGGAATCAGTTTGCATGGGCTGTATGTTCTGGATCCAACAGTTTCCTGCCTCATTCATTACCCATTTTACAGACTGCCTGCTCTGGCATGGAAACCATGCGCTGACTCAAACTCTGTGGGAACTCCTAAGCATCAAGTAATAGGAAAGCAGTAGCTCCTACAGAATTTGTTCACAAACTCTACTCTGTTTTTCCGTGCATCTCTGCAAGAATGGATATTTTTGTTTTGTTTACATTTTTCTGCCATTCACTTGCAACTTTCATGACCTGGTCATACGCATGCTCATCGTACTTGGTGCATGTGCAGTGTCCGTGCATGTGGGTGTGCAGCGATTTCTGGGCCGCGAACGTTTTGGATCGTTGGAACAGTTCCTTCTCCCCTCAGCTCATCCATCTTATTTGGTCCCGCTGTCTCATTAGTGTCAGCCAGTCCCTCCTATCAGCACGAACCCTCACCTCTGGTTGGCATGCACAGGTCAGAGGTCACATGCAAGCCGGCCTGTGAGATCAAGGCCCATTGTAGTCCTGCAGAGTTGCTATGAACACACACAGAATACTTGTTTGTACAGTAGTTGTTAGCATGTGTGTCTGCTATAGAAAATTGTGGGGCAACAAATCGTGTTAGTTCTCAGTGTACTTTTTGATTTAACAAAGACATTAAACAGAAACAGAAGAATCTTTGCATATGTGTTTCTGCACACGTGTTATATGAACGCATGGGCGGACGAGTGTCTGTGTGCTGATTGGACTTCTGTTGCAGAGCATGCGGAATGTAGCTTATCTGGGCAGAGGATGAATGTCTTTTTAATCAGAGTGTTTCTGTTGGAAGTCAGTCAGATGACCTATTAACCACTATCTGAATGGAGAGGGAGAACAGATGAGGAAATAGACACTTTCTCATCCAGTTGGCAGTGAAGCAAAGAGAGTCAAAGATGGATGGAGCTAACAGGCCATTGTAATAAATACCTTCCAGCACAGGGGAGTCTCACTCGCAGCTTGTTGATTGCTTAGTGATCTACTCTAAGTCATCAGTGATAACATTAGGGTAGTTTATGGGTGACGTTTTATTTACTGTTGTTAGTGTACAGTAGACGTAAAGCTAATCTGCCAAAGTAATCAGTGACATTGAACAGGCTTTGTGGAACGTATCAGCATGTCGTACTAATTCTGACGGATTTGTTAAATAGATCTCTCGCGGTTATAGATCTCTTCAAGCAGTTCGTCTGTGTGTGATGGACTAAAAAACAAAACAAAACAAGAAACCCCCCCAAACATTTTTTAGGACTGACATACTTGGAAGTTAAGAACAACTTGTGGGAATTAAAATACACGAGGTTTTAATTAACTTTCAACATGATGTCAAAGAAGAAACACTGAACTGGAGTGTATGCAGCTTCACAAATTTTAGGAATAAATTGTGGCAGAAACATAAAGCCTTAATTCTTCTCCTTTCCTTCTTGCCTCCTTCACTCATAAACTTATAATATTAATTGTTGGAATTATGTTGTATGGTTTTCTTGATGCTTGGACAGCCCCATACTTTTAAAATTTGGGGGCTAAACTTGAAAAATAAATCAGCCATCCAGTCTCACAGTACCACAGCTACTGACGATGTAAGAACTGTGGTATGTGAGGGAGGGCTGCAGGAAAAGGGAGTCCGTGTGTGTTCGTATGTGTGTGTTTGTGTTTATGTGTGTGAGTCTAAAGTGAGATTGTCGAGTCAAGATGTAAGGAAAGGATGACAAACAAATACATGCGCACACATAAACACATGCATGTCATTTTTGGCTGCATTACTGTGAACATAATCAAACTCCAGGTGCTGATACACACGTTGCCTCTGCTTCTAATAATTATTCATTGATATGTTTGTAAACAGTCGGCTTTTCTAATGCAGGTGTGGCTTTTAAACAATGATTTTGACCTGAAACTTACTGTTAAATAGATGAAATATTCAGCACTGTGAAGAAATCTTGAGCCACCCCTCATGTCTTGGTATTTTGTGAAGAAAATGGGAATTAGGTGCAGTGATTACTCTACATTGAAATACAGTACATAAGGCAATTATATAGTTCTAACAAGCTTGAACGTCAGTATTTGGTTTGACTGCTTTTTCAAAACAGTCTGAACTCTTTCGTAGTCTCCAGGAATATTTCTGAAGGACATTCAAAGCTCTTCTTTGGATGTTTCTGCCTTTTGTTCTGTTTTCTGTCAAGATGATCGCACACGGCTTCTGTAATGTTGAGGTCTACACTCTGGGGAGGCCAGATCATGACTGATTGAGCTCCATTGTGTTTTTTCCTATCCAGGTATGCTTTTACTGCATTGTCAGTGTTTTCAGGATCATGAACCTGTTGCCAATCAGATGCTTTCCAGATGCACGGTGGATCAAAACCTGATGGTTCATAATTTCATCAATTTTGACTACAACCCCAACACCACTGTTTGAAAAGCTGCTCCCAACCATGACAGAGCCTCCACCATGTTTCACAGATGTACAATAATCCCTCACTGTTGTACCTCTTTCCTGACCTTCTCCATACATACTGATGAAAACTTGAGCAGAAAATATCACATTTGGATTAATCACTCAATAAGTTGCTGCCACTGATTTTCATCCCAGTTCTTGTGTAATCTGGCATACCTCAGTGTTTCCTCCTTGTTTCCCTTCCTTAAGTATGGCTTATTGACAGCCACCCTTCCACTGAGACTATTTCTGATGAGGCTTTGGCGAACAGTAGATGGATCAAATGAAGGGCCAGAGCATCTCACAGGTCCCATGTCAAGTCTGCTGATTTTTGCTGGATTTTCCCTCTTTTTTTAAGGACATGACTATCAGATACTGTTCATCTGCTGTAGATATTTTTCACATGTACCACTCCTTCTTTTGTCCTCTGCTTGACCAGTTTCCTCACTTTTCTTAAGGCGAGAGCATGTCAAACACCATGCTGAGATATGGCAGGTGTTTGGCTAATAGCTGTTTGGGAAACACCTTGTTGGTGCAAAAATACTATTTTGTATCTGTCAGATTGTGTTTTTGGTGTTTTTGTAGGTCAGGCACAAACTGTCCAGGCTGAACTAAAAAAATAAAGAAAAACCTCACTGGCCTGGGGAATAATTGTTCAAGAGCACCTTAAAAATAATAAGAAACTCCGGCTCCTTTGCAGTAACATATAAAGAAATTAGTACTTTTTCACAGTTCTGTAAGCGAGATAAACCCACAGTAGAAGAGGACTATTTTCTGACACACACAGGGAATAGTTGTGTTCAGTGGAGTAAAATGCACATATTCAAATTTAAAAATGTAAACGTATAAACTGTACTGCTTTCTTTCTTTCTTGGACCCCATCACACACACACACACACACACACACACACACACACACAC